TTGGCTCACGTCAGCGCCTCCGCACCTCAGGCACTGACAGCATCAGCTCCAAGGCCGCACTCTCCACCTCTCAAAGCCATCAGGAACCTCGGGGTTCTGTTCGACCCTGAGCTGTCCTTTCTCCCCCATATCCGCACCACAACTGGCACCGCCTTCCATCACCTCCGGAATGTCGCCAGACTACGGCACTACCTCATCCCTCACGCGGCTGAAACTCTGGTCCACGCCTTTATCACCTCAAGGCTGGACTATGGGAACTCTCTCCTCGCCGGCCTTCCCGGCCCTCCCTCCACACTGCAGGTCATTCAGAACTCTGTACTGATTCGTGTACTGTCCCGCACCAGACACCGCGACCACATCACTCCCACCCTCGCTCGCCTCCACTGGCTCCCCATCCCCCAGAGGATTGATTTCAAGATCCTCATGCTCACCTACAAGGCCATTCACGGCCTCGCTCCCTCCTACCTCTCCGACGTACTATCCCCCTACCTACCTGCCCGTACCCTCCGTTCCTCTGGCTCCGGTCTGCTCCACATCCCCCGCCCCAACCGCCCTACCATTGGTGGGCGGGCCTTCAGCCTCTCAGCCCCGAGGCTCTGGAACTCTATCCCCCAGTGCCTTCGCCGCTTCCTCCCTTTCCTCCTTCAAGGCCGGTCTCAAGACCTTTCTCTTTGACCGAGCCTTCAACTCCCCTCTCGACTCTCTACCCCCTCCTCGCTCCCTCCCTTCCCTCCCCTCACCCTGACCATTTCCCCCCAATGCTCGGGTCATGACCCAACTGTGCAGCGCCTTGGGACGTCCTCCTGACGTGAAAGGCGCTCTATAAATGGAATCTTGTTGTTGTTGGAAGGTTACATTCCTTACAGCAGAGGAAGGAGGCCAATAGCTTATTCCTGATGCAGCCATCAAGCTTCTAAATGAGTGTATTTCCTCAATTTTCAACTCTCTGCCCCTGAAATAGGACCATCTCCAAACCCACCCGCTTCTCCTGGTATAACTGCCACCTGTGCTCCCTTAAATTCTAAACCCAGAACACTTGAGTGCACATTTTACCACAAAATTTTCAAATACTTGCTATATAAATGCAAGTTGTTGTTGTTTGTAAGAGAGATAGACAGAGACATGGATAGGTCACGATATTAAGGGGCAACTGGTACTTTGAATTCTCAGACTAGCCTGATACAGTGATGGGAATGTACTACATGTTGGAGATGCTGTCTTTCCAATTAAACTTTAAACCAAAACCCTGAAATCTAGGATCATCTCCAAACAGCCTGTTCGATGGATATTAAAAGATCCCATGCTACTATTCAAAAAGAGAAGGAAGTTTTTGCTGGTGTCCTGGCTGATATCCCCAGATAAAATTGACCATTCACTTCAACAACAAACAACAACAACTTGGATTTATATAGCACCCTCTATGCCGGACTGCTTCTCAGAGCGCTTGGCTGTTTATAGTACATGGTACAAATAATAATAATAATCCTTGCATTTGCTATAGCTCCTTATCACATCTTTGAGACGTCTCAAAGCGCTTCACAGAATATAATCTAAAGTGAATTGACTGTATGTTTTGTGAGTGAAACTCAGTGCACAGCAGTGCCCCACAAACAGATCAATTTTTTTTTGAAGCAATTATTATCCATGGAAAGGCGATCTGCCAATCGACTAACAATCGCCTAACTTACTGCTAGGTAAAAAGAGGCGTGTGGAGTAAGGAAACTTGCCCAACGTTTCGCCCCGCCAGGAATTGAACCCAGGTCTCTCGCTTGCTAGGCAAGTGCTCTAACCACTGAGCTACAGGACCTGCAGTTACTACATATCAAACACAAGGATTATTATCAATAAAAAATCTGCAAGATCTAATAAACTGGTGGAACAGCCTTGTTTGTGCAGGTATTTCTGAACGTTCTATGTAGTTCTCCTGAAATCTCACATACACTACCAGGACTGCCACAGAAATCATATTGAATGCCTCACGTCAACATCGTTATTGTTCCTGTGGATGTCAGCGAAGCAGAGCAGGCAGAGGGCCTGCAGGGGCCGGTCACCGTGCAGCAGTGCAATCTTCATTGATTCCTGCAAAGAAAATTTAGCAATTTAGCAATCCACATTAGCTGTGCAGCAACTTCTAGATAAATGAAAACACAGGTTAGAGACCGAGTAAAACTCCCTCTGCGCAATCCATTCAGTGTTTCCCTCTCATGCCTATCCTCCTTAGGTCTCCTTCAAGCTGAATTGGCTACAAGGTCACATGCCTGGCAATGGAATACCAGAATCTAGCTCATCCTCCATGCCGGTCTCTAGTCTGGTTCCTGAGCCAGACGGGTCCGCAATATTCTGGGGCACTCACTGCTGATGTCAACCCAGCCACCCTAGCTCATTGGCAGACTAATCATTGGTGGCAGGGAGTCTTCCCAGTCAACTCCTGTTTACCTTGTGAGCCAAAGCCACATAGGGGACGTTGGCCTGAGCTGGACAAGCAGCAGGAATCTTGCCAGACAGTGATCCAAATGTCAAGCTTTGCTGTTAAGACTCCAGTGCAGCCATTCTGTAAAACTAGGCTGGGAGTGAGTGTCCATCCCAACCCACGCCATCCCAACCCATCCCAACCCACGCCATCCCAACCCATCCCAACCCATCCAACCCACGCCATCCCAACCCATCCCAACCCACGCCATCCCAACCCATCCCAACCCACGCCATCCCAACCCATCCCAACCCATCCCAACCCACGCCATCCCAACCCATCCCAATCCACGCCATCCCAACCCATCCCAACCCATCCCAACCCACGCCATCCCAACCCATCCCAACCCACGCCATCCCAACCCATCCCAACCCACGCCATCCCAACCCATCCCAACCCATCCCAACCCACGCCATCCCAACCCATCCCAACCCACGCCATCCCAACCCATCCCAACCCACGCCATCCCAACCCATCCCAACCCATCCCAACCCACGCCATCCCAACCCATCCCAACCCACGCCATCCCAACAACAACAACAACAACAACAACAAGATTCCATTTATAAAGCGCCTTTCACGTCAGGAGGACGTCCCAAGGCGCTGCACAGTTGGGTCATGACCCGAGCAGGGGAGAAATGGTCAGGGGGAGGGGAGGGAAGGGAGGGAGCGAGGAGGGGGGAAATGGTCAGGGTGAGGGAAGGGAGGGAGCAAGGAGGGGGAAATGGTCAGGGTGAGGGGAGGGAAGGGAGGGAGCGAGGAGGGGGAAGAGAGTCGAGAGGGGAGCTGAAGGCACGGTCAAAGAGAAAGGTTTTGAGACCGGCCTTGAAGGAGGAAAGGGAGGAAGCAAGGCGAAGGCACTGGGGGATAGAGTTCCAGAGCCTGGGGCTGAGAGGCTGAAGGCCCGACCACCGATGGTAGGGCGGTTGGGGCGGGGGACGTGGAGCAGACCAGAGCCAGAGGAACGGAGGGTACGGGCAGGTAGGTAGGGGGATAGTAGGTTGGAGAGGTAGGAGGGAGCAAGGCCGTGAATGGCCTTGTAGGTGAGGATGAGGATCTTGAAATCAATCCGTCGTGGGGGAGTGGGGAGCCGAGTGGAGGCGAGCGAGGGTGGAGTGATGTGGTCCCGAAGCCTGGTGCGGGACAGTACACGAGCTGCAGAGTTCTGAATGACCTGCAGTGTGGAGGGAGGGCCGGGAAGGCCGGCGAGGAGAGAGTTCCCATAGTCCAGCCTTGAGGTGACAAAGGCGTGGACCAGGGTTTCAGCCGCGTGAGGGGTGAGGTAGTGCCGTAATCTGGTGATGTTCCGAAGGTGATGGAAGGCGGTGCCGGTTGTAGTGCGGATGTGAGGGAGAAAGGACAGCTCAGGGTCGAACAAAACGCCGAGGTTCCTGACTGGCTTTGAGAGGTGGAGAGTGCAGCCTTGGATGCTGATGGTGTCAGCGCCTGACATCCCAACCCATCCCAACCCACGCCATCCCAACCCATCCCAACCCACGCCATCCCAACCCACGCCATCCCAACCCACGCCATAATAATATAATAATAATAATTCTTGCATTTGATATAGCGCTTTTCACGTCGGGAGGATGTCCCAAAGCGCTTCACAGAACACACTGTAAAGTGAATTGACTGTATATTTGTGGGCGAACGCGGCAGCCAATTGCGCACAGCAATGTCCCACAAACAGTCGTAGATTGAAAATGACCAAATGATTATTGTTTTTTGTTTTGGAGGGATTATTATTAGGCTCTGTGTGGAGTAAGGAAACTTGCCCAAGGTTTGGCCCTCTGCCTGGAATTGAACTCAGGTCTCTCACTTGCAAAGCGAGTGCTCTAACCACTGAGCTACAGGACGCCATCCCAACGCCATCCCGACACCCGGGAATCTCCACCAGGCCGGACACAGGAACCTTTGGTTTGGAGACTCTTAAATACAGTGACGTGTTTCCGGGTGTGTCAGACCCCGGCTGATCACAGTGACGTGTTTCCGGTGACCCGCTCCTACCTCCCCACATTCCATGGCCTCCCCGAGGCGGCGGAGCCTCCTGTAGGCCTCGGCCATGTGGTACTGACTCATTCCGCGGTACTTCAGGCTCCAACATTTGCCGTAGTCGCTGACGAGTTCGGCGGCTTTACACGGGAAGAACAGCGCCTTCTCATAGTCCTTGAGCTGTGTGTAGAGGCCGCCGAGGCTGCAGCAGACCCGCGTCTCCAGCATCTTGTCGTCCCGGGAGTGAGCGCAGCGAAGCGCCTTCTCATAGCACTCCAGCGCCTGGTGGAAGCTGCTGAGGCCGAGGTAAGCGTTGCCGAGGCTGAGGCAGAGCTGCCCCTGGAGCGGCCCGAGGGCGGTCTGGAGCCCGAGGCAGCGCCGGCAGTAGGACACGGCCTTGTGGAAGTGGCAGAGCTTCTCGTTGCTCCGGGCCAGGCTCAGGTAGGCCTCGCTCAGAGCCTCGGGCTCGCCGAGCCGCTGCGCCTCCTCCACCTGCCGCACGGCCAGGCGCAGCATGTCCTGGTAGCGGCCCCGCTCCGAGTGCGCGGTGATCAGGCAGCCGAGAGCTCGGAAGCGGCCGAGCGGGTCATTGCTCCGCTCCAGGACCCGGTCCCACACCTCCAGGGCCCGCGCCGTGTCGTTGGCCTGATACAGCCTCAGCCCCTTCTCCACCTGCAGCTTAGTCTGGTCCTGCCCCATGGCGGCGGCACTGCGGCCCTCACCGCCCCACCACTGTCCACCCCCCCCCCCCCCCCCCCCCGCCACCTGCCCCTGCCATCCCCCCCCCCCCCACCACCTGCCCCTGTCCATCCCCCCCCCCCCCCCCCCCGCCACCTGCCCCTGTCCATCCCCCCCCCCCCCCCCACCACCTGCCCCTGTCCATCCCCCCCCCCCCCCGCCACCTGCCCTGTCCACCCCCCCCCCCACCCCCACCACCTGCCCCTGTCCATCCCCCCCCCCCCCCCCCCCCCCCGTCCACCCCCCCCACCACCCCACCACCTGCCCCTGTCCATCCCCCCCCCCCCACCACCCACCACCTGCCCCTGTCCATCCCCCCCCCCCCCGCCCACCTGCCCCTGTCCATCCCCCCCCCCCCCCCGCCACCTGCCCCTGTCCATCCCCCCCCCCCCCGCCACCTGCCCCTGTCCATCCCCCCCCCCCCCCCCGCCACCCCCACCACCTGCCCCTGTCCATCCCCCCCCCCCCCGCCACCTGCCCCTGTCCATCCCCCCCCCCCCCCGCCACCTGCCCCTGTCCATCCCCCCCCCCCCCCCCCGCCACCTGCCCTGTCCATCCCCCCCACCACCCCGCCACCTGCCCCTGTCCATCCCCCCGCCCCCGCCACCCCGCCACCTGCCCCTGTCCATCCCCCCCCCCCCCACCCCGCCACCTGCCCCCTGTCCATCCCCCCCCCCCCCCCCACCACCTGCCCCTGTCCATCCCCCCCACCCCGCCACCTGCCCCTGTCCATCCCCCCCCCCCCACCACCCCACCACCTGCCCCTGTCCATCCCCCCCCCCCCGCCACCCCGCCACCTGCCCCTGTCCATCCCCCCCCCCACCACCCCACCACCTGCCCCTGTCCATCCCCCCCCCCCCCCCCCCCCCCCGCCACCTGCCCCTGTCCATCCCCCCCCCCCCACCCACCACCTGCCCCTGTCCATCCCCCCCACCCCGCCACCTGCCCTGTCCATCCCCCCCCCCCGCCACCCCCCACCCCACCACCTGCCCCTGTCCATCCCCCCCCCCCCGCCACCTGCCCCTGTCCATCCCCCCCCGCCACCTGCCCCTGTCCATCCCCCCCCGCCACCTGCCCCTGTCCATCCCCCCCCGCCACCTGCCCCTGTCCACCCCCCCCCCCCCCCACCACCTGCCCTTGTCCATCCCCCCCCCGCCACCTGCCCCTGTCCATCCCCCCCCCCCGCCACCCCGCCACCTGCCCCTGTCCATCCCCCCCCCCACCACCTGCCACCCCACCACCTGCCCCTGTCCATCCCCCCCCCGCCACCCCACCACCTGCCCCTGTCCATCCCCCCCCGCCACCCCCACCACCTGCCCCTGTCCATCCCCCCCCCCCACCACCCCGCCACCTGCCCCTGTCCATCCCCCACCCCCACCACCCACCACCTGCCCCTGTCCATCCCCCCCCCCCGCCACCCCCGCCACCTGCCCCTGTCCATCCCCCCCCCCCCCCCCCGCCACCCCCACCACCTGCCCCTGTCCATCCCCCCCACCCCGCCACCTGCCCCTGTCCATCCCCCCCCCCCCGCCACCCCACCACCCCACCACCTGCCCCTGTCCATCCCCCCCCCCCCGCCACCTGCCCCTGTCCATCCCCCCCCGCCACCCCACCACCTGCCCCTGTCCATCCCCCCCCCCCCCCGCCACCCCACCACCCGCCCCTGCCCCCACCCGCCCCCGCCCCCACCACCCGCCCCCGCCCCGCCCCCCGCCCCCCCGCCCCTGCCCCCCCCGTCCCCGTCCCCCCCCACCCGCCCCCCGCCCCCGTCCCCCCACCCCCGTCCCCCCCCCACCCGCCCCCGTCCCCCCCCACCCGCCCCCGTCCCCCCCCCACCCGCCCCTGTCAGCTGGTCAGTGTGTGCCATGTGGTAGCCCTGGTGAAACCAGAACCAATTTGTACACAACAGCATCCCACAAACAGCCATGAAGTGAATGACCAACATGAATTCCATAAAGTCACTGTCCTCTGAGTGAAGAAATGTTTCCTCAACTCTGTTCTAAAAGGCAGACCCTTAATTTTCAGACTGTGACCCGTGGTTATAGGTTAGAGATTCTCCCACCGGGGAAACAGACCCTCAGTGTCTACTTTATCAGCCCTTTAAGAATCTTATATGTTTCAATAAGATCTCCCCTAATTCTTCAGTACTCTGGAGAATACAGCCCCAGTTTATTCAGCCTATCCTCATAGGTCAGTCCCCTCATCCCAGGCACTAACCGAGTGAATCTACGCTGCACCCCCTCCAGGGCAAGTGTGTCCTTTTTTAAATAAGGAAACCAAAACTGCACACTACTCTCGGTGCGTTCTCACCAAAGCCCTATACAGTTGCAGCGAGGCTTCCCTACTCCTGTACTCTAAACCTTTTGCAATGAACACTAACTGCCGTTCGCCTTCTTAGTTGCTGCTGCATCTGCAAACTAACTTTTTGAGACTGGTGTACAAGGACACGAAAATCCCTCTGAGCACTAACACTATCTAATCTCTCCCCCTCTAGAAAATAATCTGTTTTTCTATTTTCTCCCGAGGTGAATAACTTCACACTTCCCCACATTAAATTCCATCTGCCACCTACTCGCCCACTCCCCGAGCCTATCGTTGCAGATTACCGTTGCAATCTTTTTGCATCATCCTCAGAGCTTACTCTCCCACCGAGTTTAGTGTCATCTGCGAATTTAGATACGTTACATTCGATGTCCTGGTCTGGATCATTGATGTGAATTGTAAATAGCTGAGGCCCAGCACTGATCCTTGTGGACTCCTCTAGTCACATTCTGCCAATTCGAGAATGACCCGTTTATCCCGACTCTCTGTTTTCTACCCGTTGGCCACTCTTCAATCCGTGCTCATATGTTCCCATTAATCCCGTGGGCCTTAACCGTGTGCAATAGCCTTTTGTGTGGCACTTTGTCAAATGCCTTTTTAAAATCTAAATATACTACATCTACCGGTTCCCCCCTATCTAACCTGTGAGATACATCTTCAAAAAACTCTAAAAGATTAGTTAAGCATCACTTCCCTTTTGTGTACAAAATTCCCTTTTATTTAAAATAATTAAAATTAATTATTTTAATTCCCTTTTGTAAATTAGTAGGTGATTAGACTGACAAATGCAGGTTTAATCCCTCACTTGGTGGACTCCTTGGTAAGTCATGTGGTGAGCAGCACAACTCAGTATTGTTCTTCAATCAGTCTTCCATTATTCTTCAATCAGTCTTCCATTCCTCATAATTGTATTGTGTATCCTCTATTTAAAATTATTTGAAACTTTACCTTGATTTCTAAATAAAAAACATCTTTTAGTGGTTATTTTAGGGGCTAGAACAAGTGCTACATTTGTACTCAAATTCCAAATGAAGTGATGCTGCTGTGTGTTGGCAGGGTCCAAGTCCGTGTCAGTTTCTACACATTTCTGAAATATGCAGAGAAAACAAGCCGAGACAGGATTTCCTCAAACTGTTTAATAGTAAATACTAAACAAGGAGGTACCACACTTTCATACAAAAGGACTGCGAATCAGTGTGTGCAGGTAAAACAACTCAGTACCCCAGTCAAGACAAAAATAGTAGGAAAAATCTTAAACAAATACCTGCTTTATTCAAACTAGCAACATCTGGCCATTCCTCTACAGAAACTGTTTGCTTCAAAGCAACTTTACAAGTTTTTTTTATTAATTCCATAATTTTATCAAGATTACATCACAAAAAAATCACACAAGATAATGACATTTTGCAAAAAAAGCATTTTTCATTAATGAGACTTTACAGAATATCTGCATTTACTGCAATAAAGATTTGGTCATAGTGGCAAATTCTAAATGTCTGTAAAGTTCACATTGTTAAATTGTTTTACAGTCTTAGTATAAAAGGCAACATTGTACAAAACCTAGTGTTAAATACAATCCGTTTGTACCAATAAAAAAAGCCCACAGGTTTTAATAGTTTTGTTTTTTAACTCACAAAAGCAGCAAGATTTGGAAAATCAGTCACTGACATACCTCTTCAATTCTTTACATTATCAAAAGACAAAATGGCAATTACATTTTCTAAATCCACTCTTTCCCCCAAAACACAAACAAGATTCTGATCGAGGTGGAAATATACTTAGGGGCTGAAAATCTACATTCAAAGCAGGAAGGTCTTAGCAATGTTGGTACTCAAAATACAGCCAAGATTTATCGGAGTCACGCACCGACTACAGGAGACAACTAGTAACCCCAGCTTTGTGCAGCAATCAAGGTCTTCAGTACATCACGCAAGCGCTTTGTGCATTGATGTTTGTTGGATCGGACAATATGTAAATGTGATGTTTGCTGGTGGGGTTTGTAAAGATTGTAGAGACAGCATAAGCTGTACACACAGCCACGATCTACTAAATCAATTGCAATCTATAGCAATGGATTTAGGGACTTTTTTCTGTTGCTGGGTTCATCTGGTTATAGAAAAGGATAGAATACTAGAAAATTATTTAACAATCTATTTTCAGGTTGGTACAATCTCTCTATTTAAAAGTAATGACAAACCCAGCTGTAAAACGTGCATGGAGGCTTCACCTGACAAAACTGTCCGTTACCCTTACTGACTGCAATACACACTGAAGTATCTGTCACAGCAACTTGTCCAATTACAAAGTGACTGATTGCAGTGGCAAAGCTTGCGAGCCACAAAGCACCATTCCTAAATAGAAGGTGTCAGAAGCTAACAAGAAAATTGGAGGCAAAAGCTTCAATTGTTTTCAGTCTCAACCATTATTCACATAACTCCTATACAGTGATGTTCCCTACTCACTCAGAATTCCTGGGGGGGGAAGGGTTAGCAAGCAAGAAAAAAATTCCAGGGAAGAGGGCCTTTGGTGTCTGCTCAAGCAGCAGGGTTGAGTGGCTACATTGCTGAGTCTGTGCAAGTGGATATATTGTGGAGACCAAAAGGAGAAGTGAAAAAGTGCAACGTGGATAAAATAGAGCGATTACAATATTCAGACATGTACTTACTGAAAAGTCAGTGAGGAGATCATATTAATCAAATCTGTGTAGGAGTGTATTGCAGAATACAATGTCCTGCCAATCTGGGGTAAAGCCAAAGTGGACATTCTCAAATATGGTTCAATGAGGGTGATGGAGCATTAATTAGTTCTTTATCACAATTGTTCATCCACAACTGTAACTCACTGGCAATCAGTTTAGCATTGCTAACACAATCTGAATCAGAGTACGTGTTTGGATGTTATCCAGGGATGGTTGCCACTCATAAGATGGAAGAAACGACATAGTGATATATTTACAAACCAGAATTAGGCTGAATTCAGCCTAATCCCGAACCAGTTACATGTATAACAAAAATATTTTAGCTGCTGCAGTGAATCCATCAGTGCTTTTCCTCATCCATAAACAATTGTTTCCATTTTGAAAGCTATGTGGGGAACACCCTCTCCTCCTGCCACCCAAAAAAACATTCAAGGGCATTTTTGGCAAATGTTTTACATTCCAAAATTGCGAGTCACCTGAGGCAAAGCTTCCAAAAAATATTAAAATGCAAATGGCGAGACACGGAGTCAGTGCTAATTTCTGACCTGCACCTGACGCTGCTTTGGACCTTGATTGCACATGCATTTCAGTCACAGCCACGGAGCCAGAGCTTTCTCAGTGACTTCCTTCACAGGGTAATTCTGTTAATGCTTTTGTTGCTGGTTTGATGCAGGTGGGGATTATCTTATCTGAGTGGGCTATTTGCCACAAAACAATTCAAAAATATACTTTTCTTTAAACCTCATCAACTCTATGTTTAATATTGTTTGCACTTTATCAAACAGTAAATTTAGTCAGGAAGACAGAAAAGCTCTACAAAGTGAGAAAAAGGCTGTAACATGCAAATAACGCTTGGCACTAAATCGAGTTAAACAAGTCACATCACATTTTGCTGAGGATTTTAGTGCAGATACAGTACATGCAGAATATACACACAAACTTCAGACAACATTAAACATAGTTTTTTTCTGTTAAATTTATATTCCAGACAACAATTCTAACCACAAATGAGTGCCAAAAACCCACAAAAAACATTTTTTGGACACTGAAAAAAATGTCTAGCGTTTCTCTACTGATGTTACTGTGGGATATGGGAAAGTAAAACTTACACCGCCACCCACGGAGCATGAGAACACATCACAACCCCATCCTCCTTACAGCAAAATGTGACAAACGCTCCTAGACACTTCAAAGAAAAAGTAGAAAACAAACGAGACAGAAGCCATCTTTCTAAGTTGATTGGCTGCTTATTACGAGATACAAACTCTCTGCATGTGCTAGACAGGTTGCTCCTCAAAAAGGAGTAGAAATAAGCATCAAAACGCTGCAATTTACTTAAGAATTTCTAGAAAAATAGACTCTTAAACAAGATTTAAATTTAAATCTTTTATATATTGGTTTAAAGCTACCCTTCTAGCACCGGTTGGCAGCACAGAAAGTTATGAAATACATCAATTTGATAAGGTCAAAACAAGGTCAAAGGTCAGTAGAGGTCAAGCATCAGAGACAACGAGTGGACGGACGGTGAGGTGGACGCCACAGCAACATGCTGCGCAAACGATGAACAAACGGCACGAAGAGATCTAGAAAACAAAAACAAACCAGAGAGGGAGAAGAACGAAGTTACACAACGCCATAAAAAAGGAAAAGGAAAAAAAATCAAATCAACAAATGATCAACTACGAGAGACTGGAATAACGACCACAGCTGAGAGCACAAACACATGAGTTTGCACACATACAAGTTTGACATTAGAGACTTCGACCTCAGTGATCAGAAGGTAATGGAGAGAGGAAAGCAATGAGGACAATAAAGCATCTGCATCTTTTACCGATTTCAAACTCAAAAGAAAATTGAAAAAAGGAAATGACAAATAGTAACAGACACAGAACTTGTCACGATTGTCAGAGACACAACACTATCAATGTCGGAGAAGATCTGTAAAGATCAAATGATGTAAAATTGCAATAGCTACAAACTCAAGTCCCAAACACAGATTAAGAGTGAGAGAGACTTATTCCGCACAAACTCAAATAATGAATCATTTAACCAATAAGAATGTTGGACGAGCGAGTGTAGCCGTGAGCTTTCAGTGAATTTTTCCATCTTAAAAAATGTTTTCTCTTGAACTGCATTAGGTTCAACATGAATTTGTTTCCTCAGGTAACCACCAAAACTCAGTCCCATTTGATTTAATTTGGTGCAAGTGAGAATGTGAGGACATCCGGCATTAAAGAGTTTATGGCCAAAGAAAAAGCACAGTAATTATTGTGCCCCCCCCTCACTGCCATCAGCCTGTGCCCCCCCCTCACTGCCATCAGCCTGTGCCCCCCCCTCACTGCCATCAGCCTGTGCCCCCCCCCCCACCCTCCCACTGCCATCAGCCTGTGCCCCCCCCTCACGCCCGCCCCCCCCCTCACTGCCATCAGCCTGTGCCCCCCCCCCCTCACCGCCCCCCCTCACTGCCATCAGCCTGTGCCCCCCCCTCAGCTGTGCCATCAGCCTGTGCCCCCCCCTCACTGCCATCAGCCTGTGCCCCCCCCGT